TCCCTCTGGAGGTTGAACTCCTAGAAAAATTTTTTCGTCTCTTGCGTCCATAAGATTTTTGAATTTTTTGAATTTTTGTTTTTCAATTTTATCAGATGCAGGAGAGAGTTTTTATTTTTCTGTTTTATTAATAAATTATGAACTTTATTATGTAGCAACTTTTGATAATTATTTTCGGATTTTTTAAGAAATATCAATGTCGATCATTTTATCTTTGATATTTTTTTAAAAATCTGAAAATAATTATCAAAAGTTACTACATACTAAAGTTCATAATTTATTAATAAAACAGCAAATGTACTACTAATTGATCTTATAGCCAAGAACATGGTACATCTTTTATAACGTTTTTAGAATTTTTACTTACGAATTGAATTTAATATCAACGGCTGAACATCGGACGTTCGAAAATTATTCTCTGGAATTCAATCGCTATTTATTCGCTCAATTTTAATTAAATATGTCTGAATACTTTACATAAGATACTACATATTCTCAGCTTTAATGTCACTTAGTATTATTTTTATTAGAACTTTAGTGAAAAAAAAAGTTTTATATGTAGAAACGATTGATAATTATTTTCGGATTTTTTTTTATTTTTTTAAAATTTTTAATAAATTTCGGCCGTTTTTATTCCCGTCTAAGTGAAGTCAAAATTTTCATTAGATACCATGAAAAGCTCTTCTAATTAAAGTTGTAGATATTGTTTTTGGCTACAATTTCTTATAAGATAGTTGGTATCTTTCTTTAAAATTCATTGAGTCCGGTATGGGTAACGTTTAAAAATTAAATTTATAATTTTTTTTCAATTTTATTTGAAGTGCAATTTCTCTACATATAAGCATTTAATTTTAATAAAAAGTATTTCATATGATAGCCCCAGTGTAAGGGAATCTAATAAAAAAAAGTTTGTGCAATTTAGATTACTCATTGTGGCACAATTAACATTTTAATTTTAGTGATTTTTTTAAAAAATTTCAACTGTCCGGTGACTTTTGATACCTCACTGTACTCACTGAGGGTGTGACTTTGGATGAGTACAAACATTGCACTGATAAGTTTAACGTTCATGGTTTATGGGAATGGACAAATTATAAAGTTTCAGTTTATGAACTTCCATTAGAGCTATATGAAACTTGTATTGACACAATTACTTCAAAAATAATTGAGCAATGCTTTCCTGTTAAAAGAACAAATGCCAGTATAATAAACTTAGGAGCAACTCATAAGTATCAATTAATTAACTATCTCAGTCCTATTTATAATATCAAATTAATTTCTTTCTTTTAAAGGAACTCGCGCTAATCGTTCTAGAAAAGAGGCTGACACATCATTTCGTCCAATGAAACTGGAAGTGCCTACACAAACTGGAAGTGATAGAAAGGTATCTTTTGTTTTCTCTATTGGCTTTGAGCCCTTTAACATATACGTGTTGCCCAAATCTCAAATCATTTGGAATTTGAGACGTCAAAATTCCAAATTACTAGTATTTGGGATTTAGGATTTGAGATTTCGGCAAAAAATACTAATCATAATTTGGGATTTGGGATTTGGGATTTCGGCATTTGGAATTTTGGCATTTGGATTTTGAATTTGGGTAGCAGGTATACTTTAATATTGAAGTTTTATATTTTCATGATTTTAGAGGAAACCATAGCCAAATATTATTGTGGAAGTCGCATACTCTGAAAGTATAAATCACATCTTCGAAAAGGTGAAAGATTACTGGTTAAAGGATCTTAGTCATGCACATGATGTAATAGTTGTTAAAATCGATCTGATTTTTGAGGACGAAACACCTTCGCGCATGTGAGTAAGTTATACTTCTTAAAATGTAAGTGATATTTTATTGCTTGTATATCATTCTAAAAAATAAACTCATGTAGGCGTGACATTTTTGTTCCATTGACAGAAGAACATGAAGGGGAGAACTTCAACATCAAACTCATGTAATGTCAAATATAGAATAAATTATCTTTTTTACCAATTTTCAAAATTTTTTAATATGGATGGTTTATTATTTTTATTACTAGTTTGAGTTTGGCACTCATTATAGAGCCAGGAATCTGTTGAATATTTTACAGGGTACATGCCTCATCAAAATTAATTTGAATTGTCTCTACCACCAAGTACATTCTGATGTTCAAATTCCACGAACTATTCTTCCTGATCCCATTGTACTGGATTTTTTCTTTGTTAGGAATAAAATTTTCCGTGCATATAGAGAATAATAGAAGTTTTAGAAAATAATAATTATTGTGATAAATGCACGTGCAATAGGTCATAATTTATCTGAATATTATCATAACAAAATATTAATAAATTAAGATAAATTCAGAGTAATAAATAAAAAATTGTTATTTTATCTGAATCTGTTTGTCTCTTGTGTATGCGTATATCGAAAAAAAGAAATTTATTTAACTGTATTAGTGTAACTGGCATTATGCGTGCATACAATGATCACAGAACATTTGAAGTTTTAAATTTATTCTATAAGACCCAATTCTCGAAGGTGCTCTGGGATAATTACATATGGGTCTTCGTAGTACCAAATATACCTAAAACAATTCAGTTTTCTTTACACAATTCATTCTTGAGTTGATCCCGTGCTTGCTGTTTAATGAAATTATTTGATTCTCTATGAAAGAATTCTATATAATAGTCATGTTGCTCACCTTGCACTTCAATCGCAAATCCGTATTCTGGATAATAAATATCAAGATGTAAACCACTTGGATACCTGAAATTTTGAGAAATTCAGGTTGACATATCTTAGATGAGGGTCCAAGATATTTTGATACAATTTCTCAGCACAAATTTTCGTGTTTATATTTTGAGCAATAGGGACATCAAGTTCCTCTTTGAATTTGATCAATTTGAGCAAACCATGAATGGCCTTTAGAACAATTTCAAGAAAGTTGAGAATGTTTATTAAAATAAGAACTAGAAATACATTCGTCACCTTTTTTATTTGCAAGATTCTGAGCAAATTCAAGACTAAGTTTTTTTGCATTCACGACACCAACATTTACTATTTTTTACCTCTGCAAGAGATAGGTGAAATTGATGATTATTTTTGTATTCCCATGAAAGAGGTGATTTATTGTTAATATAATTTTCAAAAATACATCTTCCATTTTTAGCAAGCGCTAACTCCCGAGCTACTGAAATATTAAGTTTTTTACTTACACAATGAGGGCACCATGAATGTTTGTTTTTGATATTATAGAATTGAGTAGTCCATTGATGAAATTTATTGCATCAGAGTTTTATAAAATCAACTTGTGCCTCCGTTGTACAATACACAAGTGTTTTTCTTAACTTAAATAGCATAGTGTAAAAGTAATATATTATGAATTTCATAATCAATTTGTGGTGTACATTTCATTTTATAAATGTATATTCACTTTTTGTACATAAAAAATAATAATAAAATAAAATAAACAAATCATAATATATATTTTATAAACATATAATTATAATTATTAGTTTTGTATAGTTTTTATAAATATTGAAAATTAAAGACAGTAAGGAATAAAGATGATAAGATGAGTAAGATGAGTGATCTAGAGGATGAAACAAAAATGTTCTGTATTATTAAATGTTACTAAAATTTGTACAGTATAGTACTTATAAAAAGTAAGAGAAAAACTTTAATCAATACTTCACATTCTTCATGAAGCCATGAGAAGATAGTACAGTTACACCAAATCACATTCGCGCAATACTGATCGAACAATGTATTTCTATATTGTATACGTCATTTTTTTTTAATTATATGAAATTATAATATTAATTTCAAGAAAGTAAACACAAAAAACATTGCGCCTGTTATTAATATAATTGATAAAATTGTTTATTTTCTGTAATATAAAATATTATTTATTGGTACATATATATTTACTGAATTGATATTGTGAAAAAAATAATATAAAATAAAATAAAATAATAAAATTAATTATGCAACTATGGTAGTGTTATAGAGACGATTGCCAGTATCAGTATCGCCGATTCCCTTATATTTGTTCTTTGACACTCTCAACGCATAAAACGAGACCTCGGGAAATTCTCGAGGTAATTTCCTGGCAGTAACATCTTGAATAACTCCAGTTATAACAAATATTTTTCCTTGAAATTTATAATCACTAACTATATAATTCAAAATACTTCTCATTGTTTTTCCTTCATTTATTACTGAATCAACCAAAATTAATTTCTCAAAATGATTAATATATTTGTCAATATCTTTATTAACTTGGTGATGAATGTATGATGCTTTTGGCATAAATTTCCAAACGCCCTTTGCCATTGAATCGCCTGCACGCATCATTACAATTATTCCAATTTTTTCTTCATTCTCTAACGCAAATCCATTTGTTACTGTGCATCCCTGTACGTGATTTAGGGATTTAGAAATAATTTCGAATTTCTCAATTACTTTACTAGCCATAAAATATCCAATATTTTCATGCACATTACAAAGATTAATCCCACTTATTTCTTTATGTCTTGAAAATGTTGCAATTATACGTGATGCATGAGATGAAGTATATTCATATAAATTAGATGGATAAACCAAATTATATATAATTTCATCAAGAGTGGTAATTGGAATTTCATCATTTTCTGCTTTATTTCCATTTGCAATATTAAAAAACGAAATCATTCTTAACTTTTTCTTTAGATCAATATATTTTTGTTCTTTGAGTCTTTGTCTTAAAGCACGATTATTGGTATAATCAACTACCAGATAGCTCTCATCTGCTTCTGTTAACATTTCTAAATCTACTTCACTATCTCCAAAAGCAATGATTTTGGATTTTGGATAAATTGATTTTAACAATTTTGCACAATGACCTTTTGATTTAGCATCCATAACATATTTTTCATCATTAGGGAAAAGATTGCCACCAAATAAAGGAATTTTATTTCCAAAATGTTGGTAAAGTAAATTATGCCAAATTTCTACAATACCAGAAACAATAACGATTGGAATAATTTCTTGAGAATAAGATGAAAAAATTATTTTAAGAAAATTTAAAAATTGTGGATATAATTTTGTTTCTTTAATTACTTTTGTACAAATATTATTGTAGACTCGTGAATCTAGCCCAGAATATTTATAAGCAACTTGAAGAAAAGCAAAATAAGAATGTCCATGATTTTTGAAAATTGTTTTGAAGTCATTGTTACAAGTATTTGAAGATGAATAATATTTTTCGTATAACTTCCAAAACATTATTCCAGTATCATTTTCGCAAAGTGTACGATCTCCATCGATTAAAATGAAACATTTAGGTTCGTTACCTAAAGTGGATGCAAACTTTTTGATGCTTATTTCAATATTGGTCGCATTATTTTTTTCAGTTTGTTTAGAAATATTCTCAATAATTTGCAATAACATTTCATTATCAGAATTTTTGTCAAGTAAAGATTTGAATATGTAAAATTTTATGCCTAAATTAATACATTCTAATTCTAATTCTTTTTTCTCGTATTCCAACCATTTTTTTATGTGTTCAAGTTCCAAAAAAGGACGATCCGATCTTAAAAGAATATCGGCTTTTTGACGAATGTAAATTTCTGAAGGTGGAACATCAATATAAATGATATCTGTATAAAAGTTACCATCAAAATCGGTCCAAACTTTTTCAAAAGATATTTCCCTATTATTAAAAGATGGAAAACTAAAATGACCTGCGACAATTTTATTGCCTGGGGAATCTTTTAACCATTTCAATGCTTCACGACGAATTTTGGATTTATTTTCATTATCAAGTTTTTTAAAATTTTCCAAAGTTATATTTCGTGTAATGACTTCAGATCCTTCATAAATATTAAAATTAGTTAAATGATTTTCTTTTAAACCTTTCAATATATTTGTTTTTCCCGCCGCGTTTATAGAATAAATTCCAATATTCTTGTCAGCCATTTTTTGCAATAAGTGATAATATAGGTAAAATTTAAGAAAAGAAAAAAAAAAATCGCGATTTTTTTATATATACAGTTCAAAAACTCTAATAAAGGAAAAATCATTCTAAGTTTTGTTTCCAAAAATGGATAATCTTATATTAATACTGACATAAATGTTTTAAATCTTCGCCAAAATGTGATTTTTTCCAAAAACACCCAAACGATCATCAAAATGGAATTGATAATTTCGATAAACAATAACAAATATCTCGTGCATTGCACAAGTGGCGAAAAATAAAACGAAATGAAAAATTAAAATTAATTAGTTAGCTAACTTTATTAACTTTTCAAAAATATTATTTCTTCCTTCTATTAATTATAAAAAGTATCTATCATATATTTAAGAAGAGAATATTTGTCTTTAAAAAAGTAAAGGTCTTAAGAAATAAATTACATAGAAAAGCAATTTTCAATAAAGAGGTCTTCAATTTGTGAAATTATAAAAAGTCACGCCTGCTGATATGGCAGAAACGGTAGCAATGACTCCTAATCCATGCAGGTTTGATCCTGATTGTTAATTGAATAAGTAAGACAAGAACATCAATGAGAAAGCTGCCATTTTACCTAATTGAAATTACGGCAAAAGATTTCTGGCCGCTTGCCATTATTTTTGCGTATCGAAAGACAATCAAAAAATATATATGTACTTCTTGTATGATGAGAGTCCCTCTACAATAAGAGATGTCATAGAGATATATTTATAGAATCTGTTTATCAGCACAGCAGTTAAAGAAAGAGATAGTAAAATAAATAAAGTCCGAAACTCGAGATTTAATTTATAAAATTATATAGTCATAAAGATTTCGTTTCGAAAATTCTTTCTTTATTCTAATCCTTTATAATAATTGTTAAAAATTTTGTAATGAAAATGATGAAGATACTGTTACGGATTGTTATTATATCTTTTTATTTACAAGATTCGCAAGTAAAAAGGTGATTTGTTTTCTAGCCAAGACAAATAATAATAATAAGTGATAACAAAAATGTACCAGAAATATTATTCCAAAAAAAAAGATTATGAATTATATCACATAATCACGTGATATTAAGCCATGCGAAACTTAATTTGAAGATTTGATGGCATAAATTTGAGTGCAAGTTTATAAAAGACTACGAATTCTAGTCATTTTAATAAAATTTATTGTTATAACCATTATTGAGTGTTTCTTTTCGTTGTACGTATATTGATAATTATAATATTGAATATCACTTGTGTCAATATCAAATAAATTATTCAAATGAAGAATTTTACATATTCTTTTATAAAAATAAAAATATATATTAGATGATATTGCAAATTTCAATTATTATTATTGTTATTATAAAATTCCCAAAATAGAAAAATAGAAAAAGAAAATAAAAATAAAAATAAAAATAGAAAAATAGAAAAATAAAATAAAAATAGAAATAGAAAAATAGAAAAATAAAATAAAAATAAAAATAAAAATAGAAAAATAAAAAATAAAAAATATTAATTAAATCCCTATATCTATATATTATTTAGTGATTAATTAGCTAAATATTAAATTAAGGCTTCAACGAAAATATTCTTGTACTTTGATATTATTCCTTCTATTCTTTCCATAAATTTTCGGTAAAAAATAAATAAATTAAAAAAATATAAAATGACAAATTGGGTCAAATATTTAACACTTTACCATCCATCTTTCTCGTGATTCTCATGATGAGAATATTTTAAATTGAAAATTTTTAAAGCTGATTTATCCATTTTTCCTATAATTGTACATTGTAATTTTTTCTATCAAGTATTAATAAATAATTAATTAAAGATGATGCTAAATCATATAAATTCAAAAAAAAAAAAACTGTCCTAATGATTTTTTTTTTAATTTTTAATAAATAATTTTCATTTAAGAAAAATAATAACAATAATAATAATTATTATTATTTACTCACCATGTCAGCAAAGATAACTTGAATTAATTTGATCTGGTTTTTCACTTGTAATTTTTGACTGATTTTAGTTTCTTTATAAAGCTTTTAATGACAAACCAAAACACTTTACTGCATTGTACAATTTGTATTGTAAATTTGAATATTTTGACAGTTCTACAATGTCAATAATTTTTTCTTAACCTTGTTTCCTGTCAAACAAACGCATTCTAAATATCATTTCCTTCCTAGAAACTTCATTTTATTAATTTATGCTATTATTTAAGAATAATAAAATGGGTTTGTTTATTGAAAACAAAATTTCAAGAGATGAACATCTGAGATAAAATTTCTGGTGGTACACCATTATTTTAAATTTCAACAAAAAAATCCGTGTAACTCTTTCGAAAGAAATAATCTGCCCGTTTTTTAAACATGATGAATAAGATAGTTTTACAGGTTATAAGACCATCTTACTTATCAACTAAACATATTTTTCGTAGAACACCATCGTTCGCTTCGATAATAAATAAACGAGAAATACAAATACAATCACAGATCAAAACAAAGCAATCAAAAAAACAGGAAAAACCAAAACCAGTTGACAAAAAACTTCAACAAAAACAATCAAAACAGGTGATAGAAAAGTCCCAAAAAACGACAAAACCTCAGAAAAGTGAAAAGATTAAAACGGAAAAGTCAAAAGCAGATGAAAAAAAACTTCAATCAAAAAAGGAGATAGAAAAGTCCAAAAAAACTACAAAGCAGGAAGAATTAAAAACAGGTGAAAAAAAACTTAAGGTGATAGAAGAGTCCAAAAAACCTACAAAACCTCAGAAAAATGAAAAGATTCAAAAAGATAAAAAGGAAAAATCAAAAGTAGTTGAAAAGAAATCTAAACCAAAACAGATTATAGAAAAGTCCAAAAAAATGATAAACCCTCAAAAAAATGAAAAGGAAAGATTAAAAACAAATGTCAAAAAACTTCAAATGAAACAGAAGATAGAAAAGTCCCAAAAATCACAGATAAATGCAAAGATACAAAAAGATAATAAAGAGCTTTTGCAACAGGAGGAAGAAGAAAAACAAAAATTAACAAAAAAGCTACCAAAAAATCAACATCCAAGTCATCATAATCTTGAAACTTTTCTTGCAATCAAAGATATTGACAAGAATACTACTTTATATCGTGGTACTTTATATGAATATGAGACTATTGATTGTCTTCAAAAATTATTTGGAATTGTTACAAGAAGAGTAGGAAAAGCTAATGATGCTGGTATAGATTTTCGTGGCCGTTGGAATTTACCAAATAAAAGATTAATGATTATTGGTCAGTGTAAGTCATTTAATATTAAATGTAGTTCAAATGTAGTTCGTGATCTTGAAGGAACATTATGTCGAGAATCAAAAGAAACAATTGGCATTTTGTCATCTTTTGGTGGATTCACAGAAGCAGCTATAAAAAGATACTATGGATCACCTTGGCCTATGATGTTGGTAACAGTTATAGATGGTGGTAAAATATGCGAAAAATTTTTATGGAATAAAACAGCAGAAGCATATTTAGAAAAACTTCAGATTACATTGTTTTATAAAGAAGGTTCAAAATCAAAAAATTTATATAAAAGACCTCTTCTTGTTTATGATGGAAAAGAATTTACTCCTGATGAAAAAGAAGTTTATTGGTATTTATTTATGTAATTTTTTTAATAGATTTGCTAAACTTAATAAACTTAATTTAATAAACCAATTTTTTGAAAACAAAAATAGGGAAATTCCAGAAAAGTATTTGAATATGTCAGGCATATCTCTAGCAACAATTGCTGAAACAGAAAATATATAAAGGTAAATCTTTTGTATATTTCTTTGATTTCATTAATTAAATCAAATTTTTTATTGATTAAGATGCAAACCTTATGAATTTTGAAATTTGCAAAGGTTTCATTTAGAATTTTTTTTATCAATTGATAGTCACTATGGTTGACTGTGAATGACTAATCAATACTAAATAGTTTAATCAATTTTATTAACTATTACTTGACTTCTCTTAAAATAGTAGACTTTTCCTAAATCAATTATAAATTATTAAAATTGATGTAAATGAAAGGTTGAAAAATAAATAATATCATTTGTTTATTGTTTATGTTCTTACCAAATTATGGTTATAGATATTTCTTAATTTGATTGTTTTTTATTATGTCGATTTTAAGAATTACTTATGCATTTTGTCAAAACTATTGAATTGAGTCAGATGCAATTAAAATAAAATTGAGTCATGAAAATTTGATGCAATTATTGATGCAATTACAGACAATTAAATTTTAGTAATTGAGTTAAAGGCTTTTACTCTTGACAACATGCATAAGCATTACATAACTTTCTTAGAGATGTCCTGATAAAAGATAATAGTTAAAAACTACATATATTATTAACAGTTAATTTTTAATATATTTAACTGCATTATTTATAATTGTAATGGTTTCAATAATACCATAGGTGCATTTTGATAACTAGATCTGTCAAATGGCTCACTTTGCTATCTAAAGGTACAGATTAACAACGAGGAGCATATTATATTCTCAAAGTAGTAACTAAGGCTTAATATAAGAATTTAAGGCTCACTTTGAAGATTAGAGGCCTAAAGTAATAACTTCTACAAATATTATAAAAGAGAAAGTAATTTTTCTCTCTTGTAATTAGAACAGATACATGTCTTTTCTTAACAATTAGTAAAGTAGTGAAAAGTTTTATATGATTTATTGTTGTATTGTTGAATTGTTAACAAACTTATATCGTTTGCCTCCAAACTCTTACATTCTTTATAAATCCCTATTAATTACCTAGAGTTAAATATTTTAACTATTTCTATAATATTTAATTACTTATTGAAAATTACAATTTAATAAGAAATAAATAATAAAAGATTTATGTACAGTACTATTACATTAAAGAACAAAATAAAAAATAAGCTTAAAAGAAAATTTTCCATTCCATATGTTGTGTTACATTTATCTCAAACTTCGAGATCGTGTCACGGTTGGCGTAAATGCTTAAAAACTATGGCAAAATGTCACAATCGAAATGTTTATAATTCTTTATTTGCAATACATTATAAATAAAACACATTCGCGATATGAGAGAACAAACTAACAATCAATCAATAGGTTCTTTTATAATTACTGAAAAGTATTACAAACGATTGAAATTAACATGCTATTTAATAAATATTGTCAAGAATTGAAAAAACATCCTCTCACCAGAGGTTTGAGGTAGAGGTGATGAAGCTGGGAAAGGTATAGATTGACGAGCTATTTTTTTTTGTTACTATACTTGTGGCCGAAATTAGCAAAAATTACGGCATTACGGCATGCCGAAATGCCGAAAATATTTTTGGCATACCATTTCAATTCCGAAAATGTCGAAAACATTTTCGGCTGCCATAATTATTTTTAGCTGCCGTAATTAATTATAGTTGCCGAAATTATTAATATTATAATAAATGTCATAAAAGATCTACAAGATTTTAGTCAAAAATATGCAACTGTTTTTATATTAACTCTATACAAAATTTTTTGAGATATTTAAATAAATTATTACTTATAATAAATTATTTTTATTTTATTGAAATTTTTAATTGTTTTTTATTTTATTTAAATTATTAATTGTTTTTTTCCAAATAATATTAATAACATCATTTCATTTTAAATAACTATAATAATCTTTAGCCATATTTGATAAAAATAAAAATTGATCATTAATAAAATAACTAATTTATTATTTAAAAACAGCCAATTTATTAATTATAACTCTCTTGAAGCAATAAAACCTATTAAAAATACCTGAAAATCATATAAACTAATAAATAAATGAAGTATTACCCATTTATGATTCCTTTTAAACTATACAATTACTCTTTTTTTCGCCTAGATCTATAGAACGATACTGCACCACCCAAAACTCATCATAAAAAGCAACCAAAAAATAATAGTTAGTACCTAAAAATGTTTGAAAATACCTGAAAATCATATAAACCAATAAAATAAACAAAATATTACCCACTTACGACTCTGTAGACCCCTTTTAAATTATATAATTTCCCTTCTTTCTCGTCTAGATCTAGAACTGTACTGCGCCACCCGATCTTATTCTAAAAATAACCAAAAAGTAATATTTAACACTTAAAAATACCAGAAAATCATCTATACTAATAAAATAAACGAATTATTACTCACTACACTGTAAACTCCTTTTAAACTATATAATTACCTTCTAGATCTATAAACAGTACTGCGCCACCCGATTTCACTGCAAAAAAGTTCTAAAAGTAACCAAAAGTAATATTTAGTACCTGAAAATACCAGAAAATCATCCAAACTAATAAAATAAACGAAGTATTTCCCACCTACAACCCGTAGACTTCTTTTAAACTATATAATCCTCTTCTTTCTTGTCTAGATCTATAGTTCGGTACTGCGCCACCCGAGACACTAGTACCTGAAAATTATCTAATTGAAAAAAATAAATGAAGTATTACCCACTTATAACTCTGTAGACTATATAATTACCATTTTTTCTCATCTAGATCTATAGAATCTGGCTCAAAAAAAAATAATTAAAATTAAAAATTAAAAGATTTACAGACACTAAAATTGATACCTGGTATGCAAAACTTATATAATAATTATTCGGAATAATGTAAATAATAAATTAAACTCAAGTGATACATCTTATTGGATAATCTTATTTATAATCTTGTAACTCTAGATCTTAGATCTCAGGATAATTATCTATCAAAAATTTTTTTTCCAATTTCGATTTATATTTTTTATAAAATAAACATGTCGGAAATACTTCCAGAAGGTGATGATTTTGATGAAAACAACAGTAATGATAATTTTAATGAAGACAACAATAGTAATAGTGATCATAATTATGATAATTTTAATGAAGACAACAATAGTAATAATGATTATAATGATGATAATGATAATAATAGTAATAATAATAACAATAATAATCAAATTAATGTCAAAAAAAGAGGTAGACCAAAAAATCCATTATGGAATCATTTTAAAGAAACTGATATACAAAAAGATGGGCATAGAGGTTGGAAGTGTAATTATTGTAGTATGGTGCAGAAAGTTTAAAGGTATCCAATGTTTTGAATTGCTATAACTTTATTTCTAAATTTAGAAATTAAAAAAAAAATACATAGTTTAATAGCTCTAGTTAAGCTCTATAATTCTATGTATTTTTTTTATAGTTAATAAATAAATTTCAGAATAGTGAAACTTTTTTAGCGGCATTTGTAATATAAAACCTATGATTTTTAGCACTGAATAATCGTCCCTGATTGGCTTAATTTATTCACGTAAACCACGTGTTATATATTTGATTTGTTATTGATTTGACCGTTAACGAAAATTAAAATAAAACATTAAAATGATATATCACCAAACATTTCTTTATTAAAATATAAATGAAACATTGTTCTTAATTAACAAAGAATTATTTAAACTTTATTTTTTTTTTATTTCCTTGATCCTAAACCACACTTTCTTATATTTATTACTTTATATGACTAAATTCTTTCAAAACACTTTCTGGAACGTGACGATGTGACCGATATTTTTTTACTGCAAAGATAACAGCCTTTCCTGAAAGGCCTTGTTTATATGTACTCACATATCAGTTAGATCGATGTGCAAACTGATGAATCCTGGTCAAAGAAATGAAATCTAATACATATGGAACAATTTTTTTAAGGTCTTTAAAAGTGTAATCACAATGTAAATGGGTGTACTGCTTTGTATTCTCCCAAAATGATTCAATAAAATTAAGCTTACAGTGAAATTTTGAATAAAAATAATCATATGTCCAGTTGCTTTAATAATTTCTTGTAAATGGTTTTTTGTGGTTGCTTACTAAGAATTCGAGTTGCATAACACTACAAATTTACCAGATTGATAATGTGTGACTTGCACAAATCACATTGCTTTGCCAACCCTTGTACTCCACACTCTTCAAGAATTTGTTACATACCCTTTGGTTTTGTTATACTGTCAGTATTTACAAATGTTAAAATGTAAGGAAATCCATTAAGCATTTTACCATTATAAAAAAGTGGTTATTTGCTTCTGTCTTTAAAATTCATCCTTGATATTACTAAGGCATTATCAGCATATACATTATGGTTACTACTGTTGTCAAACATAAAAAGTGTAACTTTTTCTGTATGTATTTTTTCAAAAATTGAAATAGTCTTTTCAATTACTTGTTTTATAAGATCTTGATTTGTCTACCAATTATCTTGATTGAAACTGGAATATATAATAACACAAGTTTCAGTGTACAAAAGTCTCTGATCTTTAGAAGACAAATTGTTTATAACTCAGTTCCTTTCTGAAAGATGAAGACATCCAATTGATTTATATATAAAATCACTCACATAGATACTTAAGCCTTGTATTTATACTGGAGTTGATTTTTATCTACAGAACTTTACATTTTAACAATGTCATCATTGATATAAAAAATGGATTCATCATGAATAACTGGGACAAGTTCACAAACATTAGGTAGAAGTGTTGATGAAATAATTTTTTCATATTTTTTCTATCGTATATTGTAATTTGAGATCTCAAATTGTTTGCTTCAAAAATTATTTTCGATAAGTCACTACATCATCTCATTCATAGCCATCAAAATAAATATTTTTTGATTAATCTTTGTAATCTCAATTAAAATCATGTAACCATTTTTAAACTGTTACTTTTGAAATTGGTTCTTTTTTCAATTCCTAAAGTAGGAATTACTTTCTCTTTAACAAACTTTATAAATTGTTGTAAAGTCAGAATAAACTTATTTATATGCAAATATTGAAAAATACACAACTTAAAATCTTTGTAATAAAAAAGTGACTTGATTTTTGAGTAATGGCCATGTCTTGATTCAAGAAGTTCCCCTCCCTTTAGTTATTGATTCATCTACAAACAGATAACTTATGCATATCATGGACCTCTGTTAACAATACAAACCAGAAACTCGTTAGCTGAAAACTTTAAATATCCATGGTCTTGAACAAGATGAAGAAATTGACTTACTATACGAAGTCATATATTATTAGTTCTTTTTTTTAGCAAGTTATCAAGAGATTTTAAAGTTCAATTATTGTTATTATCATCACTCAAATTATCTACTTTGTCAAATAGAAACTTATAATTATTATTTTTTGTCATTGTTACTAAAATAACTAGAATTATCTATATTGTACAATTAATAGAGTTTTTATTAGTAATCCAAGTTGTAATTTTTTTTAAAATCCAAAATAGCTTTTCTCAAAGCTGCTCTTTTATTGTGTAATGTTGATTAAGCAGAACCAGTATAAAATTATTTTTGTCCTTTAGTCTTCCACATATCTAGTTATTTTGTATTTTTGATAAGTTTTTCAAATACATTTAAGTTTACTTCTCTTAGTTCCTTGACAAATTAATTATTATTTTCAAGTTCACTTTTGTCATCTAGTCAAGTATTAAAGTTAATTGCATTATATTCAGAATCTAATACATCTGTTTCAGGTTATAACTTTTTTTCTTACTATTTTTTGATAACTGAAAGATAATGTCTAGTATGTTTGTTGTACCTAAACATAGTTTTAAAAAAAAAATAATCAATTTGTAAACAAATAAGATAAATCATCCTTTAATCTTTTAAAAATAACAAATATTTAATGAAAAAAGAACTAAATATCACATATGACAAAATATTTATTTCATATTTAACAGAAATAGAAATCTTCTGAGTTGACTAAAATAGTTCAAAATGTCTTATGAACTTTTTTATTAATTATAATAAATAATAAATTATGTGTAGAAGGAGATAATAAAAAAAATATATAAAATTTTGACTTTATTAATATTTAATTCATGTAAAAATCACATGATATTGACTAAAATTTCTTGACTTTGCTAAAAAATCAGGTAAAAGTTACGTAACAATAAATCATAAAATTTTAGCAATGATACAATAATTAATATTTTTAGACTTTCTGTACCATAGTAAAAATACATATGTAACAAATTCAAATATGAATGTACATTTAGTATTACATTATTAAAAAGTACCAGCTGAAATTAAATAGGATAGATTACATAATTTTCTTGTATCAACAAAAAAAAAAATAAAATAGCAATTGACATTGCAACTGGTGTATGATCAAGAATTGATAATAAGTTTCAACTATCAAAACAATTAGATCCTGGATAAGAATAACTTTGTCATAAATTATTGACAAAATTTTTTGTATATTGTGAAATTTCTTTTAAAATTGTTAAAAGTTTATTTTTTTAAAATTTTTGCAAGAATTTATGTATTTCTTATAATCCACCTGATAGAAAAACTTTAAGTAATAATTGAATTAATTTAGAAACTGTATGTATTTCAATATCAATTGAAAAAGAATTGCAAAATAAAAATAATCTTATATTAAGTATAATTTTAATTTTAATAAATTCTTAGATTTGTATTTAAAAATATTTTAATTTAATTTAATTTTTATTTAATTATTTAATAGGTGAATGGATAAGTAATTGTAAACATTCCTATTTTGCTTTTATAATATTAACTTCTAATAAAAAGCAATATATATATTCAATTAAAGATTTTTTTAATAAATCATATACAGCAATTTTTACTTTTGACTAGATTAACTCTAACTCTAAAATATAGATGCTACCAGGATAAAACATATATCATTTTGTAGCTAAGAATAAGGCCTTTCTTTCTATCTTAGAAATATCTTAGTAAAATCACTATACACTTTGTAAATCATGAGCAAAGTTAAAAAATGTAAAAAATCTTTTGTCAGAAATGAAAATCTACCATTGATCATCATCTATTAAAATTTTTTGATGGATATAATTTGATCCTTGAGGTGTATTCTGTAAGTAGACACTTGCAGTCGAGAGTTTGATAGGAATGACGAATTTTCCTACATTATACTAATGTATTTGTTTATATTGATCACAGTGTATTATATAGATGTAATCAAGTATGCTAATGAGTATACTATATATACATGTTATCAAGTATACTACATTAAGATCATATTTATTACACATTTCAAGTATGTATACCAATTTAGGTTAATGATATTTGCAATTATTTCATATCACAAAAGAAGTAATAGGTTATTACCATCTGTTTAGTACACTAAGTTTTCATTTTACGCATTTTGAACTACACCAAGATCATGAATATAAAGTGATCATAACTTATACTAAATGAAAATAATATAATTATATTATTTCCACTCTTGAGAAAAATATCTAAATAAGAAAACTGATAAACATTTTTAAAAGTATAAAATTTCAGTTTTGGATTTTGTCTCAAATATATTTTTCCATGTATTGAAACATAATTTATTAATATATAGGTATTGTTACTATTTTACATATCACCCAAATTCATTAAGAAAATATTAATAATAAAATTTTGCTAATCCTATTGTTAAATTTAACTGAGAAGGTTTAATATGAGGTGTAAATTACTATTAATAAAAGGTTTAAAAACTATTTATTAATAAAGTAATATTAATAGGTATAACACACTACTTTATTAACTATTTATAGTTTATATTATTACAACTCGGAGATTCAAGGACTTGTTTATAATAATATATTGAAAATTATCATTTCTAGAACCAACTATTAGAACTGAATAATTGATAGCCAAAAATTCAGTTTTATAGTTTTTACTTTTGATCCTGACCTAGGTCTATTCTTAAGTTCTTCCCTTTGATCTTTTTATAATAGATTTATACTATTTCTTATCTATTTCTGTTATCAGTAATCTAGATCAATTAATACCAAATTATGAATACAATAATATTTACATTTTGAATACTTAAAGTGATATATTAATAAACAATATTAAACTAAATAAATAATAATAAAGCTATTATTCATATGACTTTTAATCACGAGATCGTTGAGAAGCACCAAAATAGCAAAGGTATTGTTTTTGATATATTTATGGTTATTTTTTTTGATAATCAAATTTCATGTCACACGTATTGGATGTATCAAAAAAACGATACTTTAGCACCAAAATAAAAAAGAACATAATGACATGTAGATCAGTAGCAACTTATAGAATTCCGCAATGTTATTGAGATGCAAAACAACACAATTACCAAAATGAGATTTATAAAGGAAAGATTTATGTTTCAAAGTTGTTACATTTTTTTCATAAAAATTTTAATCTAGTCCGACATGAAGATAGATATAGTGGTTTGTCTTTTTAGGTGAATTGATTGCGAATTCATTTGGAAAGTTACAGTTTTCACGTATTATTATTAATAACTGCGAACCGTTATCTGAGTTTCCTTTCTTAAATTCGTTTTGTTTCTGTTTTGGTGGAAAAATTGACATTCGCGGATAATTCATTTGGAAAATCGTATTAATAATAATAATAAATGCAAACCGTTATGTTACCTATTTGAGATTCTTTTCCTAAATTCGTTGTTCCGTTTTGGGGATCGCGAATACGATTCTTATAAATCGCTGCACTTTTCTCCCTCTATATTATAAGATATCAGTTTAGCTAAGATAAAATTAAATTTGATATTGTGCAACTAGATAAAAAAATACATAAATCGCGTTTATTTAAGAGAGAAAATTGGGGTTTCAACCTTACGCACAAGAAAATGATTTAGTTGAATCAATCAAATCTATTATCAGGGATTATCCGCATGAATCTGTTTTTAGGTAAGTTTCTTTACGTTTTAATAAGAGAAAACATCCTAGACTTTTCCATTCAATGCATGGGTTAGTATTAGGGTAGTGTATTTTATCACCGTGTGTCACACCTTTCGGAAATCATAGGATAAGGGTCCTCTTTTAATAATTAAAAAATACTAATGTTGATAATATAATATAAAATGTAGAGAATTTCTTCAGAATGCAGATGATGTCGGAGCAAGAAAATTTCGCATCATAATTGATGAACGTTCTTTTTGTAATAATGACAATTTTGAACCTTATCCTAAAATGAAAAAATGGCAAGGTCCGGCTATTTGGATTTATAACGATTCAATTTTCACTGATGAAGACATTCATTCTCTGCTCAAAATCCGAGTTGGTGGGAAAAAAAGTTTATCCGAAAATTGGAAAATTTGGAATCGGATTTAATTCCTGTTTCCATTTAACCGACTTACCAAGTTTTGTCAGCGGCAAACACATATTATTTTTGGATCCGCTTGGAGAATGTTTAGAAAAAGGTGGAAACTTAATTTTCTCGATGATATAAATAAAGAATTCTTATCTTCAGACCATGTAAAGTCATACCTTGGAATTGAAGGATGCAACTTCAAAGATGAATTCAAAGGAACCTTATTCAGGCCTCTCCGAATTGAAGAGAGTAGGATATGCAGTAACATATTATCTACAAATGGTGTCTTGGAATTTTTAGAAAAATTAAAACAAAGTGCCTTTACTGAACTTTTGTTCTTACATAATGTTGAGTCGTTCGAAGTTATGCAGTTGGAGAAAAACTCCTCTCCAGATGATATTAAGTCACTTTGGGAAGTCAAACTGACAAATGTCGATGATAAAATCGAAATGCTGATTGAAGGTGTTGGAGATAAAAAAGAAACCAATCATGGATGATATGTATTGGAGGTGAGAAATCAATAATCAAGAACTCGAATCTTTTGCAAAGAAAAATAAGACGAAGGCACGAGGTGGTGTGGCAGCTTTATATAGTGCATCAAAAGAATATAAAGAAAAAGGTCGATTATATAGCTTTTTACCTTTACCTCAAATAACATCATTACCCGTTCATTTAAATGGCATGTGGGCCAGTTCTTCAGTTAGAGAAAATATCTTATTAAGTAATGATAATTTTGCTGAATTAGATAGATCAAAGTTAGAATGGAATCGATTTATACTATTAGAAATATTACCACCTTTATATGCTAAACTTTTAAAGGAACTTGTTAAATTTGAAAAGGATAAATTTGGAAAGGAAAGGAACATTAAACCCAAAAAACAAGTAATTGATCAATTTTGGCCTTTACCAACATCTGCAGACTCCCAACTCGACTATATTGCAGAGTTTTGATTTAAAGTCCTCAAAGCACTTCCAACTGATATACCTCTCTTTTGGTCCATTTTTGAAGATGGATCATATGTCAATTTGAATGAAGCATGTTTCGGACATGAATATGATCCATTTATTTTTAAAATTCTTGCTGATAATGGGAATAAAAGTGTACAATATCGATCTCTCTCTGATTTCTCCAAAGCTGGCTCATAAAACTCTAAAAAATAAGGATATCTCCAAAAGTTATGATTGGGGTGATTTAATCAAATTACTTAAATTTTTTGTAAAAGATGAAGATTACTCTCAACTAGAAGACATTGACATACTTCCTTTGGCAAATAAAGAGTTTGCGAAATTTGGAAATCATGCAACTACAAAAGAACGAACATTACTACCAAGTGTTGAAGATCGTCATTTCGTCAATGATATTTGTAATTCTGTTCAAATACTAAAAGAAATTTTGCTTCCGATAAATTCCAAAATAAAACAAATGTAAAAAAATTTGATTCCAAAGCACTTGTTCAACTCTTAGGTTTTGAACTTATGCAAAAAAAATTATCTCTAACTGGATTCCAGATTCTCAAAATATTCCAAACAAATATTGGCTCAATTAAATTTAGAATATTATTATTTTAAGTTCAAAGGCAAATTTAAATTGTTTTGGGCAATTTCCAATTCTAGATATATGTTATCCACGTTCTGAGCTGATTCTTTTAAATTCACGCATGCCAGTATTAGAATTTTCCAGAAATATGAGCGTGAATTAGTTGATATTCTCTGTAAATTTGGACATAAATTTACTTTACGAAGGTCAACTAAAATATCTAAAAATTACATCATTGAACAAAAACCCGGAAACGTCATAAAATTAATAGATGAGGCAAGAACCAAGAAAAATAAAGTTTTTAGTAGTTTATCTGAGGATGAAATTAATTCTATCCGAAATTATATAATAAAGAATTGGAGGATGTTGACCAACATTCCCTAAGAGAAATGAATACAAAAGTCCACCCGATGGATTACTATTTCCAGAGAAGATTTTTATATTTTCTTTAGAATCATGCTATACGCAACAAGCAGAAAAACCTCTCTTTTTTTGTCAAGATGATTAAGAACGAAATATATTAAAAGAATTAGGAGCTGAAGTATTAGGGCTTTCCAACTTTGTATACTCCTACTTTGAATTTCCAAAAAAAACTCGAGAGAAACTATATTCAATTCATCAAGAGTATTCTGAAATCTTCAAATTTCAGAGAAATTGAAGAATGGATTAGTAATAAACGTGTAATTCCACAACGTTTTGAAAAAAATCTTAAATATGCACGAGACTTATGTAAATTTATTTCGTATAACCTTTGAAAGTTCCGAGAAATTTTTACACAACGAACTTCAGTCAGATTCAGAATGTTTAGAGGTAATTAAAAGAATGGAATTCAAATATACAATAACTATAGAAAATTTTTTGAATTGTGCAAGAGCAATTGATGAAGATTCACAAAATCGACGTTCCAGAATAAGTAAAAACGTCCTTTATGATAACTTTGATAATTTACAATTTAGTGAAAGTGAATGGAATAATTTAATAAGTATACGATTTGTCCCGGCTTCAAATATCGATAGACTATACTCTGAAATCATACCCCCAAAACTTAATAACGTTAAATTTGAATGTTTCAAATCCCTGTGTTTGCCTAAATATAAATCTATTGCGTGGACTCAGGTGGCATTTCTCGACGGGTCAGTGATACCTAATCAAAATAGTTCTATACTAAAAAAAGAAAAATTTGGAACACCAAGTTCTTGACCATTTACGTGAAATAGCTGAAAATATTTTCAAACCAGAATCACGGAAACTAGACAAATTCGGGATGAAATATATAATTTCTTAGATTCTGCGTGCGAAGACAAAGTTCAAGAACTTAGAGAATGTGATTTTGATACAAAAGAGAGGATATTTTTAAACATGGATCAAAATGAGAATCCGTATGATACGCGCAATTGGGTGACAGCGAGTGAATTAATCTTAAATGTTAGTAGAAAAGAGGATGGGTTTGTCAAAGCTAGTCTTTCAAAATACGAATCTTTGTTAAAAACGGCGGGGTCTGGAAAGGTGATCATTCCATGCATTACACCAAATTTCGCCACCAATAATAATCTAAAAGGGTTTTAGATGGGATCAACAAATTTTTGTTGGATGGATCACACCTTAACGATGTGACTCGCCATATAACCAGCGTAGGAAAATTCTGGATCGATGTCACATCCAGGAATCATAGGAGATTCAATTGGGTTTGATTCTTGATAACCTTTACAGAACCTATCAAAGAAACAGTCAGCTGCTGCTGCGAGAACATATCTATTTGCTCTTATTTCTTCGTTTTGAACAATAAAAGTCACAAGAAAATATTTTGGGTATTACAAATTCTGAGATTGATATTCTCAGAGATGAATCAAATTCTGATGATTTTAGTAATGATAGTAACGATGGTAATAATGAAAATGCAAATCAGGAGTAACTTTTTCATTTGTTGATGGATTTGTTGAAGGCATCAGATTATTATGATATCAAAATCTTAAAGGATAAACTTGAGGCAAAACTAATGAATTATGTCAAATTAATAAATGCTGAAGAAATTCGTGATTATGCAGATAAATGTCAAGCAAAGATTATTGTAAGAAATTCATGGAAACCAATTCTATATCAGATATATTTATTTGTATGTTTTAGCTAGTAAAAAAAAATCAATGAGAATTTGTATTTGTATTGATTTCACGCGCATACATTGTTAATAAAATAATATTTATTAAATAAAATATTATCTTATTTAAATATTTCGTAAATAAAGCAAACAAACACTGACATTGCCCTCACAATTAAACTTGTCCAACTTACTCAAGTCCCAGGGTGAGACCCAACGCCAAGCTTTTAAATTTGGCTCATATTGAGAGTTAAATATCGAAGAAGGATATTTCTTGCTGCATTAATATCTCTATCCATTTCTATTTGACATTGAAGACATTTGAAAGTTTTATTTAATCCCAATTTTTGATGAAGATATCCACAATTATATTGTTCATCACAAATTACAACTTTACACCAAGGTTATTCTCTTGTCTTATTCAATAAAAAAAATAATGACATATGCAGTTATTTTCGGGAGAATGAAAACATTTCGATTATTAATTTGCGTGCAAAAAAGTTTACATGCAAAAATTCGGAATTTATTTTTGTGATCAAAAAGAATGTAATAATAATATATGGGGATCTGACGAAATCTATCTTCCGATGTTAAGGGAGGAAGTTGTTTTGATACAAAAATATTTAATAAAATAAATCCGAAAATTTCTAAAATATGTATAAACAAAGATGAACATTATTTTTTATAAAATAATTATGTGTGAATAAATAAATTTATTTTCTAATTGATCTTTTAAAAAACTTGAACAATAATACTGAAAATGACTAATTTTAAAACTTGGATTATTCAAACAATAAAAATTTTTTTAGATTTCTTTAACCATCGTTATTTTTATAAATTTATTGAATATAAAAAATAAAATAATAATGAGATCGCTCATTATTATTTTTTAACAATCTTAAATGCTTCATACTCTACAATGGAAATATTAGATTGTTCTAATGGATTGTTCATATCCGTAATCATCGATATTGATAGAACTAAAAGCACACCCACATTCTTTATCTTGAGTAAAATCAGAAACTTTTGATTCCAAGAAAAATTCATCGTAATCAAAACATGGACCACAAGTATTTTGATCACTAGATTTACAGTAATATAGAGCTTCACTTTCATCTTTAACTCTACTAAGAATTGAATTTAAATATTACCATTTTTCAATAAAAATATAAAGTTATCGTTTGTTTCCATATTAATACATTCAGTTTTTGAATTATCCCAAACTAATGGATCGTAACCCCCAAGCAAGCAATGTACATTTTACATGTTAGTCAAAGGGGTTTTCTTGACAGTTCAAGGTACGCGTCCGCGCCGTCGGCAGCCTTAATTAGTCTATAAAAGTATATTAAAACTTTATAAACGTATGTAAAAATGAATTCTAAACAATTTTAATTAGTAGCTCAAAGCAAATTTTCATAATAAAATTTTGCGTTATTTACGTTTTAAAAAAAGTAAATTTTGTCCAAGCACTGTCCATGTACAGTAAGACCCCCAAGTATTTCATCAGTACCTGCAACTTTAGCAACCAGCATATCCATGACATATGTCCAAAATATTTTTGGTTGAAAACCATCTCTACTTCCTCGAAGAATTAATTGAAATTTATATAGTTGATTTGCAATCAACCCCATAATGAAATTTCTGCTACATGTTCTTCACTGATATGATTCTGAAATAAATCATTCCAAAGCTGCATTCCAAGGATTTCGACCTTTCTCTGAAATATGAAAATATCGAATAAGTGGTAGACATTGTTGTAGAGTTGTTTTTAGAGTCATGAAATTTTCTTTAGACCATTCTTCAAAATTTATAGGCAAAGTGGGATTTTGTGCAATTCCCACTTGATAACATAATCCCAAATTTCAATTTCTTGTCGTCTCTTTTAAAATGGAAACTAATGCTGCTTCTCGAAGAGAAGTAAAGTCGTCTGATTCAAAAAATAAATTTGGACGTTTGGCAATAATGTCATTACAAAATTGTTCTAAACCTTTGAATCATTACTATCAAATATTGAATGATAAATAAGGAAGGAATGAGTTTTTGGTCAAGATTCAGATTCAACAAGGTAACATTCTAATTTTTCTGATAGTTATTCAAATTCCAGCTACAATCATAAATTTTTTAATATCTTAATTTTAAGCCATCTTATAACAATACTTATACAATGTAAATAATTTAATATTTAAAGTAATCCTAAGAATAATTGACCAGAAATATTTGATTTAATAATGACTTTCACTCGGATGAACGATAACTGAATTTCTTATCTGAAAATGTAAATATTTGTTTATCTGCCACCACATCCGGCTGTAAATCATCAGTGTTTATTTGCTTTCTATGTTTACAAAATATTTAAATATTATTTTATTAATAAATAATGTATGTGGCGGATGACAATTTTTTTCACTGTTGGATGATTTACAAATATTTACATTGCGCCAGACGTGGCGGATAATAAACAATTTTTTCACTGCGGATGACTTACAAATATTTACTTTTTTTTTGTAACTAAGCCAAATATTTTCTGAAATGAAAACGAATATTAGATTCCTATAAGGCTTTGAAAAAAGAATAAACAAACGACATTGTTTATCGAAATTAAAACTATTCTTTTTGAAGATTTTTTGATTCTGATAAGGCTTTGAATTCAAACAACTGTGTTAAGAAAGAAGATTCTTTTTTTAAAAAGGATTAGACATGAAAAATAACGAAGGCTATTAGAGCACTGAGCCCTTGATATCCAATTTGCCACAAATTTTAATGAAAATTTGAAGAATTCTAATAATTTCATAACTAATCTTATTCTTCAAATTTTCTATATAAACCCACGCTGAATTGCCTTGAAAGAAGCATCATCACTTCCAAACAACATCACTAAAAGCTTCTAAATTCTTCAAAAAAAAAAAATAATAAAAAATGAAATTCACTTTAGTACTCTTGGTTACCTTGTTCGTTGCTTTGGCTGTCGCTGGTATTTTTTAAAATTATACTTTTTCGTTTAAAATAAATTCTTAATTTTGATCATTATATTTTATTTCTAATGAATTTCCTCTCTTTGTAGAGCCATACTACTACTACAAACGTGACGCTGAAGCCGAAGCCAAACCCTACTACTACTACAAACGTGATGCTGAAGCCGAAGCCAAGCCATACTACTACTACAAACGTGATGCTGAAGCCGAAGCCAAGCCATACTACTACTACAAACGTGATGCTGAAGCCGAAGCCAAGCCATACTACTACTACAAACGTGATGCTGAAGCCGAAGCCAAGCCATACTACTACTACAAACGTGATGCTGAAGCCGAAGCCAAGCCATACTACTACTACAAACGTGATGCTGAAGCCGAAGC